CTCCAGCCTGGGTCACAAGAGTGAAACTCCATCTCAAAAAAAAAAATCTTGAAAAAGAAGAATAGAGATGTAGGACTCATGTCTCATGATTTTAAAACATACTACAAAACTACATAAGCAAAACAGTGTAATATTGGTATAAAAACAGACATTAGACATAGAAACCAATGGAAGGGAATGGGGAACCCAGAAATAAACCTTCACATATATGGTCAAATGATTTTTGACAAAGGTGTCAAGAATATTTGATGAGGAAAAGACTGCTTTTTCAACAAACAATGCTGAAAAAACTAGATATCCACACACAGAAGAATGAAGTCAGACCTCTACCTAACACCATATATAAAAATTAATGGCCAGGCACGGTGAGTTACACCTGTAATCCTAGCACTTTGGGAGGCCAAGGCAGGTGGATCACCCGAGTTCAGGAGTTCAAGAACAGCCTGACCAACATGGATAAACCCCATCTCTACTAAAAATACAAAAAAAATAGCCCGGCATGGTGGCACATGCCTGTAATCCCAGGTACTCAGAAGGCTGAGGCAGGAGAGTTGCTTGAAACCAAGAAGTGGAGGTTGCAATGAGCCAAGATCGCACCATTGCACTCCAGCCTGGGCAATAAGAGTGAAACTCTGTCTCAAAAATAGAAAAAATAAAAAAAATAAACTCAAAATGAAGAAAAAAACCTAAATGTAAGACCTAAAGCTATAAAACTCTCAGAAGCAGACATAAGATAAAGACTTCACAACTTTGGATTTGGCAATTATTTTCTGGATAGGACACCAAAGGCAAAAGCAACACAAGAAAAAGTCAAATTGGATTTCATAAAAATTAAAAATTTTGTGCATCAAAAGATACCATCAACAGAGTAAAAAGGCAACCCATAAAATGAGAAAAAATATTTACAAATTATATATGTGATAAGGGATTGACATCTTGAATAGGAGAATTCCAGAAACAGCAAAAAATGAATGACCCAACTCAAAAATGGGCAAAGGACTTGAATAGCCATTTCTCCCAAAAAGATATGCAAACAGCCAATAAGCACATGAAAAATGCTCAACATAACTAATCACTAAGGAAATGCAAATCAAAACTGCAATGAGATACCACCTCATGCCCATTAGGATGGCTATTACTAAAAGATCCTAGAAAATAACAAGTATTGGTGAGAATGCAGAGAAACTGGAACCTTCATGCACTGCTGATAAGAATGTAAAATGAGGCCGGGCGCGGTGGCTCAAGCCTGTAATCCCAGCACTTTGGGAGGCCGAGGCGGGTGGATCACAAGGTCAAGAGATCGAGACCATCCTGGTCAACATGGTGAAACCCCGTCTCTACTA